GGAATTAGGGAGATTAAGGTTATTGCAAAATATAAACTTCCATCAGGGTCAGGCTGGACCTCTGTGTGGGGGAAGTAAAGACTGTTATTGCTATTAGATGAAAAATAGATTAACTCCTTAACTAGCAGGTGTAGACAAAATTGGAAGTGGATGAGTCTCTTGTATTATGTCATCCACTCGTGGTTGGCAAAACCTCTCTTCAAAAAGGTCATCTGGTCTTAAGTGAAAATATCCAGAAAACACCCAACTGGAGAGTTGTACCAATGCTTAATTCCTCTTATTATCAAAGGTTCATCCTTTGCTTCCGATTTGAATTTTTCTAGTTTTGATATCCAGTCCATAATTCTTGTTACACTTTTGTCTTATTGACTGGGGAGACACAAAGCTTTTTGCCCCCTCTCTATATATACAGAATTCAGTTTCACTCTTTTCTGTTGGTAAATTGCTTCCATTGAACTCTTCAGCTGCTCTCACAGTAAGGCAATTTCTCGTGTTACTTTTTTTCCTCACTCTGTCTCTGTAATTTTTACTTTCTTTCCCAAGTATGCGAAAACTGAAAGTGTAATGCCAGCCTGCTGACTGCTCCTACAGAGGCAAAATCAGCTCCCTATTCAAAGCTCTCCTGTTTGTGCTTCTACATGACTGCATTCGCTACGGCATCACACTGGAGTTCTGTGTTGATTTGCTTTTATTCTGTGGCTTCTGACTCCTTCCTACCTTTCCAGACTTTGCCATTTGGGAAGAGTTGCCTGCGTGTCTTTTTCCTAAAGACTCAACTTTGCACCTGGCACTTTGAAATACGTTTTGTTTGAACAGCCCCAGCGTAGGGGCCAGTAATTCAAATCACAGCGCTGTCCAAGTCGTCCACTCCTCTGCCAGTTGCCATGTTACTTGCATGGTTGGTGAGCGATGCTTTTCCTTCCAGAGTATTGCCAAAAATGTTGCATAGCGATGAGCCAGATCACAGCATTTTTAGGGAAAGTCCTAGCAAGAAATCTGATTTGATCAAATTACAAGCGCTTATCAGTAGCTGGTCACCGCTGAATGTGAGTGCTAAATACACTCCTGTCCTCTGATGGCCTTATTATTACCCTTTGGCTTTGTCCAAGGACTGCTGTCACGCTATGTTGCGAGGAAGTGGCATGCCAGCTTCTCACATAGAATCATAGAATCACAGAATGGTTTGGGTTAGAAGGGACCTTAAAGATCATCTAGTTCCAACCCCCCTGCCATGGGCAGGGACACCCTCCACTACACCAGGTTGCCCAAAGTCTCATCCAACCTGGCCTTGAACACTTCCAGGGATGGGGCAGCCACAGCTTCTCTGGGCAACCCGTTCTGCAGGTTCGAAATGTTTGCCCCCAGTAGGTGCTGCTTTTCACTCCTTCGAGTTACCAGGGGACTGCAGAGTTCTTTACCACCCTCAGCCTCTTTCTTTCCAGACAGGAAACAGATGGGTTTATGGAGCACTTGGTTGGTCCCTTTGTGCATCATTCTGAACACTACCTCCCCTGAACAGGTTGCCAGGAATTGAAACAAACCAAAAAACCCCACCAAAAAGCCCTATGTTTTAAAACGCTAGAATGAAGGTTTTGTGGTCGTCTTGACGGTCCACCATCTGTCAGTTCTGCGTGTAACTGGAAAGCTAACCTCTGCACCTGGCACAGAAGCTTGATTTTTTTTTTAAAAAACAAAGCAGAAGGATCATCTGGGAGTTTGGACCACACCTTGCAGAAAGCTCAAGAGCAGACAAACCAGTTCCTTAACGCAGGATCCCACTGCTCGTGTGGAGCTTATAGCGAGGCTGGGGCTTTACTGAACTGCAATACCTGGAATGAAGACTGGATGATACACGGCTCTCACCCGCAACAACTGGTCAGATGCCCCCAGGAGAACAGGGGAGATTTGGGGGATCCCAGACACTTAGCAAAACCAGCATTTGGTCTCTCAGGCTCCTGCAGCAACAGTTGCATGCGGTTTTTATTTATGCAGGGACAGATTGTGGCGTTGCCAGTGTTGCCGTGGTGACTAATGAGCTTTTAATGCCACCTGCTGTAAACAGCTGGATTTAAAATGATCATAAGCAAGGGCACTTTAGACCACCAACTTTTGCTTTTACGATGAGAAAGCTTTTAGCTTTGGAGAAGTGAAAAGGGTGAGAAAAACAGACTGTGGGTGTTGGTGAGTACCACCACGTCGGTCCTCGTGGAGAAGCTGCTGTCTGTTGGTGGCACGGATGCTTTCAGCTCTCGCTTCGGGCCAGGTCAGCAACGGGATGTGATTTCCTACAGCCTCTCTGTGCCACTCAGCTCCCAGTGGAACATGGTGTGAGGGGAGTCCATTACGCAAGCCCTGGCCACGAGTCTCATTCCAAATATCCTGGACGTTTGTTGCCAGATACCTAAAGCTGTGTGAAATTTAGAAGGGAAAGCATGCCATCAATATTTATAGGACAGGCTGAAAGAGTTGGAGCTGTTCAGCCTGGAGAAGAGGAGGCTCCGGGGTGACCTTATAGCGGTCTTCCAGTACCTCAAGGGGGCCTACAAGAAAGATGGGGAGAGGCTATTCAGGAGGGCCAGTTGTGATAGGACAAGGGGTAATGGTTTTAAAATAGAGGGAGGTAGATTCAGGTTGGATATTAGGAAAAAATTTTTTACCATGAGAGTTGTAGAACACTGGAATGGGTTGCCCAGAGAGATGGTGGATGCTCCATCCCTGGAGACGTTCAAGGCCGGGTTGGATGAGGCCCTGAGCAACCTGATCTAGTTGGAGATATCCCTGTTTGTTGCAGGGGGGTTGGACTAGATGACCTTTGAAGGTCCCTTCCAGCCCTAACCATTCTGTGATTCTGTGATTATTAGCATATAAGATTCATGCCAGTTGTGACCTTAAATTGTAAGGAATACATAATCCTTGTGTGAGGATGGCCTGGGAACTCTAGAAATTAAAAGCAGCACTACTTTGAAGATTTTTTGCTAAATAAGGTTGCTTCCTCTCAACGGCATAAAAGGCCGTTTTCAAGATTAATTTGCGAGAACAGCCTCGCCGAACGGCCCCGC